CGCGAAATGACCAAAACATATATTATCGTATCATACTATTACGTAAACAAATATTTGATCAATGAGACTTTTTTTTTAATAGGAGGAATTTGCAGCAGAACATATTGTAGGAGTTGATTTAAATACGGGAAACACACTTGACCCTATCGTGGAGGGTATTTGGGATAATTATCGTGTCGTTCGTCATATGTTGCATTCCTGGTAAGATTATGCTGAATGTGCTGAATGTTTATGATTGTTTTAAAGTTTTTTTTTTTTTTTAATAATAATTTAAATATTTTTAGTTCCGTGATCGCAAGCAACTTTTTATTAGTTGATGAAATGATGAGAGCAGGAAGGTCAAGTTTGAAGAATGATAACATTGGAAATTAATAATTCTGTAGGGAGTCTTTTTAAAAAAATATAGATTTATCTTTGGGTAATTTATTCATTCAACCATAAAGAATTTTAAATATAAAAAAAAAGAATAGTTTATTGATAAATTATCAAGTCGCTTTAATACTAAAAGTCCTTTTTTTTTTTTAAAAAAAAAAAATAATAAATAAGAGTTATGCCGATGAAAATATTTCATTACATTGTGTCAACTATTTACATGATTATTTAAAAATACAATAATTTTTTCTAGTGTCCTTGTCTAATTACTATATTACTTATAACGTCATATATACCGTGTATATTTTGTCTTTATACAGGATAGGAAAAAAAATTTTTTTCAAAACATACAAAAAAAAGTTGGGTTATGGAAGAAATGTAAAAATGCGATTATTAACATTCTTGGAGAGAAAATTGGAATAAATTAATTACAAAAAAAAAATAATGTTCATAAATAAGATCATTAATTAATTATGATCTACGTTTGAAGGGAGAACTAAAACGTTTCTGTGATAAAGATAATGATGAAGCGGCATCCCATGTCGAACGACGATATCGTGGCCTTGATTGTAAAATGCTTTTTGCGAATTCGAGTCTGTCCGAATCAGATTGAAGGTGAATATTTGGTAAACTAGATCTCTTTTGGCCAGTCTAACGATAATAAAATTAGAGGAAATTTTAATGAGGGGGGAGAATATAAAAAAAAAAATAAAATCATGTAATCATATGAGTAATTACCTTGTATTTTTCATATTGAAATATTGCATGAATACGTGACCGAGTTTGATCAAAAGTTTCACGATTTACTTTTTCCAAAAAAGATTTCGAAGTTGTAAGGGTTGAAGTAACAATTTTAGATGAATCGCTTGTAGATGAGGGATTAACAACGTTATTTGATAATTTAGTGTTATTATTATTAAAAGAAACTGAAGAATGGGTACAGCGATTGGAAGTTGAAGGAAATTTGTGAGGTTTTTTATTTATCGAATTCGAATTAAAATCGGATTTTTTCTCATTAGATGGGGGAATATCCTTTGGTAGCATTCCACACGCTTTCATTTCTCGAGTAGTTATCTCAGCCAAGGCTTTACGTAGATATTTTTGAAAGAAATTGCCAGCACTCGCGAGAAATGCGTCAACTTTTACATCACATTCGGGATGTTCCAACAAGAGTTCATGAAGTTCTTGAATACCCTAAAGATTCGACAGGAAGGTGAAATGAGAAAAATTTTGATTAATGTTAGAAAGAAATGACCGGAAAAAAGAAGGACAAAGAAAAAAAAAAGGAGTCGTTTGAACGTACTTCTTGTGCATTTTCCAGTTGGCCAATTTTGGTAAAAATTAAAGTGAGTTTAATATTAAGGTCTCGTTCACTTAAAGAAGTCGTCTTGAAAGAAACCATGGTGTATATTTTGTGTTTATGAGTATTAATTTTTCTTTATTTGAAGAGTAGAGAAAGAAAAATAAAATTTGATAAAAAAAAAAAAAAGAAAAATTTTGATAACAAAGCCGAGAGGAAACAAAGAGATTAAATAACAGAAAATTTTTGAGCACAAAAAATTATTTGATGGAATTTGGAGATAATTTGTTGGTGCGAATTTAAGGTATGTAGCTGACATCGCTGTTACCTTTATATAAATAAAATTTAGACAAGCAGGAGTTAGGTGTATATTATTGTGTTCTTAAAATCGTAAAATAAAAAAAAAAAATTCAATTGTTAAATTGTATAAGTAAAAAAAAAAAGTATATTATGCAAATGCAGTTTCACTTTAGATTTTCTTAGTTAGTCGCTTTTAACTCTTAAAATAAGTTAGTTGTTGAGATCTCCCCTCCATGCCCGCCACTTTTTTTAAATTCATAATATAAGATCATCAATTAATTATGTAATGACATCATAATTTAAACCGCCCGTATATTATTTATTTATTCTGTGGCAAATTTCGCTTTTTACAATTGTTGATCCGCCTCCTTTCAAATTTTGTGCTTTCATTTTAGGATCATTGTTCAAAATCGCTAATCATAAAAAGTAAGTGGCAAATACGAGTCACATGACGCACATACAATCAGGTCATCGATGTTCATTCTTGCAAGTATAATAGCTCTCCAAGGTTCAATTATAAAAAGTCCCCCATTTATTTATTTATTTATTTATTTTTATTCTTTCATTCTAAATAGATGAAAAAGAAGAAAAGCGTTTGTTTTGAAATTAAATTGTTTCGTGGGGGATGTTAAAGCACTTCCTGAACTTCTTTTGATCTTTATCATCCCCATTTCCCCATTTCTTTTAAATTATAAGGTTCAGTTGGGTGATTAAACTGATAAATCGATAATTCTCTTAAGCTTTTAGTCATTACCTACATTTGCATTAAACAAGTTTCAATACTTGAAATATTATTTTAGAACTTTATAGAAATATAATGTGCATATATGTAAGAAGTTTGTCTTTTTTTTTTTTTTTTTTTTTTATGTACCAAATTTTCTCTTTTCATTTACAATGCATCATATTGTACAATTAAATTTTCCTAAAAAATACAAAAAAAATTTTACCCAAAAATCTGTGAGTACGCCGTACGCACCGCAGTAGTGCGGAATTGCGATAATAATGTACTGCGGCAGTCATCGAGGAGAAAATCAAACAACAATCGGTCATACAAACATTTCAATTTTTTTTTTTTACAAGATGATCTTGTTGAAAGTAATGAATTGTCAATGCGAACAGAAACACACATTGTTTGATATGGGTTTAATATTGTTGTGTCTAATTAAATGTAATAAAAGTGTTTGTGTTTGAAACTTGTTCTGAATTGAAAAGAAACTTGTTTTCTTTGGAGTATACGACTGACGTACGCGCAAGAAATAAACCTGCAAAAAAAAAGAATAAGCATAAATCGGTTTCATTGTAACGGAACAACTTGAAGGAAAAAAAAGATGTCATTTAAAAAAAATTTTTAAGTTTTTTCTTTTTTAGATTTAATTTTTTTCAAAAAAATTACTTTAACCAATTAGAGCATAAGGATTTGCCCGCCAGATTTCACAAAGTTCAGTTCAGCTGAACTTTTGAAGTTTCACGCGAACCACACGACCTGTAATCATTATTTACAAGTGGGCTAATTAATTTTTTTATAAAGTTTGAATAAACTCGTTTTGGGCGGTAAAAAAAAATAATATATATATTTTTTTTTTGATTGAGAAGCCATCTCTGGTAAAGACGAGTTTTTTTTTTTTTTTCTCTCTCGAAAAGTAAGAGGGATTTACCGAAAGCATCAAAAGTGCCCTGATCTCGTTGATTCTATTTTTGTTCATAACCTGTTAAAAAAAGAAACTAACCAGATCTGTCATAAAATTTCAACGAAAAATTGATGATGTATCATATGTTTCGGTTTTTTTTTTTGGACTTAATTCTGTGTATATAGAAAGTCTTTATAACGAATGCATCGAAAACCGGAAAATGAACTTTATTACCAATTTTCTATATATAACTTGACGATCCTGTTTCAATCAGTGAATCAGTGAGATGACATTATGTTATCTTCAATTTGTACGACACTTTTTTATTTATATGAAACTAATCTTCCTCACAAATTTAGCTTTATTATATGTAAAACAAGTGAACCTTAATTTATGTACAAGGTAAAAAAAAAAAAAAAAATTTCGAATAATCATTCTTCGTTGAAATCATTTTTTTTTTAATTGAAATCTTGTGATAACAACTTTATGTTATGAGTAATCAGAATGATTTGGAAAATAAAGATTCTTGTCTTCCTAAAAAAGATAAATCATTGTTCAATCGTGGTTTTATTACCCTTTTATTATTATTGTTGTAAAAAAGACTTTCTTCAAAATTAAATGAGCCACAAATGGTATGATCAGTTTAGACAGTTTATAATATAAACATTATAACCTGTTGAAAATGAAACGAACCCAAATGGAGAATGCGCCACATGGCGACAAGAAAATCACTGTTTCTCGATTTATTCAAAAGATGTGTGGAGTTTTATCAACATCTACACATGTGATTTCATATTCATAATCCTTTTTGCTCGAACGGGCAACCCCCTAGAAATTTCTGTTATCCCTGCCCTGCATTTTTTTTTAAAATTAAAAATTAAAAATAAATAATTTTTAATTTGTCTAAAAACAGAAAGCATTTGATCATGTTCCCAATGTCTCTGTTTCCCTTGATTTTAAAAAGTGTCCAATTTTGTGATTAATTATCTGTAGGACATTCTTTCCAATGGTCCAATCACCTTTTCCGATCGTCCGATCATCACGAAAAATAATTTCAACGATTGATAGAATGATTTGAAGAAAAGATATTATTGGAACAACAATAGTAACAAAAAGTTGCACAACTTGGTGATTCTCTTGGATTCCTCGAAATGTTGTATTCGAATATACATTTTACATGATGATTGAAAATTTTTGGTCGTATCATCGTATTTTTTTTTTTTTTAAAAAAAAAGGTGGCTATTACCGATAAAATCCTTTGAAATTAAATTTAATAAGAAGTTGATTTTCCAAAGGAATCGATAAGAAAGAAATTTGGTAAAAGATTCATGCTAACTTGAAGTGAGTTATACGCTGATTATGATAAAAAATGTTGTGCGATCCTTCACTGTAATACTACTACATTGCTTAATTTTAAAACTATACAGATCGTAAGCTCGTATTGTTTGTTAATTGTAATTAATTCTCTTCATAGGTTCATGTTGAGTCGATGAAACAAACAACGCAAGCTCTAATTTCCTCAACAGAAAGGCCCTTGGCTGATCCAATTACAGATGCGGTTAAAGTCTCAATGTTAATCGGTTCGAAAGTTGGAAGAATTGGTACTTCAGATTCTTATAATTCCTTCCCCCACATAATTTTGCTAATTTAATAGTGCATTTTTATTTATTTTTAATGAAAATTTGAAAAAAATTTATTAGGATCGTACTTGAACAAAAAAAAAAAATTTTCCCATCATTGGTAAAATCCTGTCGTGACAAAAAAATATTAAT